GGTCCTGGGAGGGCTGGGCGAAGGCCGGGCTCCGGGGCCATACTCACCAGGCTGCCTGCTCACACTCACCACCTTCCTCCCTGACGCGTCCTTAAAGCAGCAAACAGCATTCCGGCCTCGAATGAGGGGCTTACACCTGAACCCCAGCATGGCCCAGGAGGGCGAAGCGGCCACGGCCCTACAAAGAAACGATGTTACTATGTCAAGGGATGCCATTAAAGCTGTTCAAACCCCGAGTGCAGAGCATGGGCCGGGGAGGAATCACTCGCCAGCCGCCATTTGATCTCTTTTATGGTCGGTGAGTCACCAGCGCCTGCCCGAGAAGGTGGAAGATGAAAACCGCAGCCCGGTGATTTAGAAACAGCCCAGAATCCCCTGTTCTCTCACCTCAGATGCCCTCTCCAGTGGGACTTGCCCTAAATCAGACTTGACATCAGATGCCACTGGGCCTCCCCCTCCTCCCAAAGGCAGGAGAGGAGGGGACGGGAGCAGAGGGGGCATAACCCCCGTCCAGGGTGACGGATGGCGGGGAAGGGTGCGTGGCCGGGGCTCAGAGACACGCCCTTGTTTCTACGCGCCCTTGGTCTGCAGGGCCGGGGGCCCCAAAGCCGCCTTTGTCAAAACTCCTGGCTTCTCAGCGGACAGAGGGGAGGGGGCCTGGGTGGACGTACACTCTGTTCCAGCAGCCGCAGTCCTGCCTCCCCTTTCCCTCCTGTAAAGAGGTTTCGGGGAGCGGGACCAGTCAGGTTCCATCAGAACACCCCCCATCACTGAGCAATCTGGGGACAGCTACTGAAGGGCCCCGAGCCTCAGTTTACACATCTGTGAAATGCCACAGCCCTGGTCTCAAGCGCTCGCTCCACGCCCAGCATGATGACAATGTGTCTTATCCGAGCCATGTGCCGGCTCATTTCACTCCTCGCAGCTTGATCCCGACTGACTGCATGGCAGATGCGCTTCTGAAAACTTTCCCTAAGAGCCTTCCCTCTCCGGAGTCCTCACAGGACCTGTATGAGGGCGCACAGGACCGGGCCCTGCAGGAGCAGAGCCGGAGATGCGATTGGATGCAAGTTGCTCATTGGGGAGATCTCAGCAGGCTAAGGAAGGAAGGAAGGAGGGCGGGAGGAAAGGAGGGAGGGAGGAAGGAAGGAAGGAAGGGAGGTAGGTAGGGAGGGAGGAAGGGAGGTACGTAGGGAGGGAGGGAAACCAGAAAGGAAGGAAGCTACTCAAACCACAGCCTCCCGCTAGCAGCATCCCTACTGTGGACCACTGGGGTGAAGTTGCCATGGAGACCTCTAGGAAGAGTGTATGGGCTGCACCCAGGTGTCTTGCAAGAGCGGGGAGTGAGAGGGGGAGTTTGGCCTCAACTCTAGTCGATGGCAGCGGAAGCGTCTGAACTCCTGGACTCCAACCTGCCACACGTGCCAACCCAGGGCACTGGCGACAAAACCCTCCAGCAAAGAATGACGCGTGCTTCTGTCCGGAAGCCGTGGGGCTGGCCGGCGTGGCGATGGTGTAGAGAGGGTGTGGGCGTGTCCCCACCGAGGCCACGCTGGGCATTTGAAGATGCTGAAGCGAAGGAGCGGAGTGACTTTGGCAGCTTAGCCACGGAGCCGGGATGGGAACTTGGCTCTCACTGACTTCAAAGCCAGGGCCGGCCTTGGCACCCTGTGCTCCTGGGGCCGCCGAGGGACCCCTGGCTGATCCTGCGTCAGAACGGTGCCCCAATGTCCGGAGCCTCAGTTTCCCCATCTGAAAAAGGGGACCACTGCAATTCGTACCCTCTAGTCAACACTTCCTACGACTTGGTCCTTTTGTGACCCTGCCAAGCATTTCTCCATGGCCCATGGGCCAACCCGGTTACTGCTTTTGTAATTGGAGTTGTAAGTTCTACTTCCTGCCCAGAAAGGCTCAGATCTCGAGGTCAAGATGGGTGCAGGAGAGGGGAAGCGGTCCTTCCCCCACACACCACCCGCAGCACTGCCTTGAACGTAAAGGGAGGCCGCACCAGGATGGGTGCCTCACTGTAAGTGGCGGGAGAGGGCAGGGAGGGCGGGCAGCGCACGCGCCTGTGTCCTCCTTGCAGATAGCGGCACAAGCGGACCCTGGGAAGGACGGGAAGGATGCTCGGGGTCCACCTTCACCTTGTGGTTGTCTGAATATCAATTATAATGCATCTGCAACTGATGGGGGCTTGTGTGAGGAGCGCAGGGTGTGTTTGAAGGCGGCCCGTCTATCCTCTGGAAACTTCATCCTAGAGCCTTAAATCTTTTTTATTTTTATTTTATTTTATTTATTTATATTTTTTAATGGATTTTTTACAGAGAGGAAGGGAGAGAGATAGAGAGCTAGAAACGCCAATGAGAGAGAAACATCGACCAGCTGCCTCTTGCACAACCCCCACCGGGGATGTGCCCACAACCAATGTACATACCCTTGCCCAGAATCGAACCTGGGACCTTTCAGTCCACAGACCTATGCTCTATCCACTGAGCCAAACCGGCTTTGGCTAGAGCCTTAAATCTTGAACAGCAAGACTGATCTCAGCCATCCTCTCTCCAGCTGCGACAGTGTTGAGCAGCGCCTCGTAAGTAACTCTAATATTAGGGAGAAGTCTAAGAGACCGGCCATCTTCTCCATCTTACTTAAACTGGCCATGGAGAGTCCTGGCAGGTTGAGATCCTCGCCGGTGAGAGAGGGGCGATGCCCCTGGAGTTCAGGAAGGAAGGGCTCTGTGGAGGGAGGTGTTAGGCAGAGAACTTGTTTAAAAAGATGCGAGAGTTTTCTCAATGGCAGGACTTCCCAGAGCCTGCAGGCCATTTTCTGCAAACTCTTTTGGAACCCAGACTTTAAGGTATGGAGTGAGAGTACGGTGAAATTAGTTTCCTGGGGAACACTGGTCAAGGCCACCCCATGAAGTGAGGTAGCTTCAGCTTTTAGAAGAACGCACACGCCACGTAGCATGTGCTGGCGGAGAGCAAGTGTCACTTTTGTTATGATAGAGGGGGCTGAACTTCAGCCCCTCCACAGCCACAGATCTGTGACTCTAGTTACATGTCATTGCAAAAACGTGATGTGGGCTTTTGGCTTGAAAGAAATGAAAACACACACACACACACACACACACACACACACAACAACAACAACAACAAAACACAAAATTGAAATCGCTCAGCCAGCCTGGCTCAGTGGTTGAGCATTGACCTATGAACCAGGAGGTCACGGTTCAATTCCCAGTCAGGGCACATGCCTCGCTGTGGCTCGATCCCAGTGTGGGGTGTGCAGGAGGCAGCCAACTGATGATTCTCTCTCATCATTGATGTGTCTCTCACTCTCTCCTTCTCCCTTTCTCTTTGAAATCAATAAAAATATATTGACAAAAACAACCACCACCACAAATCTGAAAGCAAATAATAAGGCAAGTCAAATCTCCAAGGAAAAGCCGGGAGCACAGTTCTGGCGGGAAGGTGCGGTCTTGGAAAGGTGCTCTCCGTGGTGGCATGCGGGTGGGACATGCAGTGGCTCTGAGCACAGGGCTCCTCTCCCAGCTGGGGCCCTGGGCCTCTGAACTGTCAGACTGAAGCACAGAGTAGCAGCCCAGATGTTGACTGGGAGGTCTTTTTCTTAGCGAGAGACAGGTCCTTTCCCACCTGCTCACCACTTCCAGCTTTTGTTTGGCGACCTGGTAAAGTGCCTGCTTGCGAGCCAGTTGTGCCTAAACATGTGGAGCTCCAGGTCAGAGGCAGCTCCTTCGGGGAGAGAACCGGTGCTGGTTGCGTGTGCAGCTGTAGTCCAGGCTCCGCACCAAAACCCGCACCCCACACACCAGCTTCCTGCTTTCACCCCAGGACCCACCACTTCCTCGACTCCCTGCTCTTTCTCTCTTCCCTTCTTTTTCATAATAACACAGCCACGTAATCAGACCCTGGAATGTGCCTTGGCCCGAGGAATAAACTCAGGCAGCTTGGTTTATTAGCTGTTTCCATGGGAGAGAACTCTTGGGGCCAAACAGATATTTACAAATATTAAAAGCACGGCGCTAATCCCCGGCAGTGCAAGGGGGCCGTCCGGAGATGAAGAGCTTCTCAGAGAAGCTGCGCTGACTTCCCACCCCCTCTCTTCCTCGGGCCCCTCATCCTTCCTGCTCGCGGTCGATCGTCTCTGCCGAGAAGGCCTCCGGCAGAAATTTTTCACTACCCGTGGGAGTTCAGGACCTGAGGGCTTGAGATTTACTACTTTGGGGGGACCAGACTGGAAATGGGGTCTTTGAGAGTTGACTGTTCTGATATATTCTGTGGTATAACCAGCTAAGAGCCTTTGCGAGCAGATGCAAGGGGTGTTTTTCACCTCTCGGCTCCTCAGAGTGGCCAGAGGACTGAGTTCAGAGCGTTACATTGGCCTCTTCCAAGTATTTCCATTCAACAGAGGTGCCCGGAGCCCCAGCACATAAAGGCAGCGAGCGTATTCAGCACTGGAGTTACCAGGTTAACCTGTCCCAGTCTGGACCGGAAGCAGACATCAACAAAGGTCCTTCAAGAAGAGAGAGTTTAATGCCAGGAATCGAGTTCATAGGTAATGAGGAGCCCAGGAGGCAAACGGGGAAGTGAGGCAACTCAGACATCACCAGTAGCAGGAATCACCATTACTCATGGGAAAAGGAACAAAAAGAGGAGCTTATATTATTAGAGCCCAGGTGCCATGACTGCCAAGAGGAACCAAAGTCATAGAGTAGCTGTAGCTGCTGCCAAAGCCCTATAGGTGGGTGGAGTGAGGAATATCTTGGCTGCTTCCTTTTCTTTCCCTTCAAGTCTCCCACCAGTGCCTCCCATTGGCTGAGCCTGACAGGGAAGCTGGAAGGCAAAGGAGCTTGGGAAATGTAGTTCCCTGTGATTTGGAACAGGCACATGGCTGGAAAGATGGGGGCACTGATTATTGCCTGGCCCTACCCATACGTGTGACACTCACCTCCCAAATCAAAAGTAAGTCAAAATGGGTGAGAGATATGGGTTTTTCAATTTTAGTTCCTTCATTTGAAAATTTGGGAATGATCTAAGGGGAAAAGAGAGCAAGGGAGGAAATGCACGAAGTGGATGAGCAAAGACTGGGAAGAACGAGTCCCTACTGGCATCACTTTAGCTTCAGGTCTCCAAAGTGAACTCGACTATGGGGCTTCTTCCCGAAAACAACGTTCCCTTTAATAGAAAGACCTCACACTCACTGATGCTTGGCATGCTGTGCTCAGTGCTTTCCACACATTCTCTGGTTAAGTCTCATATCATTAAACTTACATCAATATCATGAGGTATCCACTCTTTTTTTTTTATAAAATATATTTTATTGATTTTTCACAGAGAGGCAGGGAGAGGAATAGAGAGCTAGAAATATCAATGAGAGAGATATATTGACCAGCTGCCTCCTGCACGCCCCCACTAGGGATGTGCCCACAACCAATGTACATGCCCTTGACTGGAATCGAACCTGAGACCTTTCAGTCCCCAGACCGATGCTCTATCCACTGAGCCAAACCGGTTTCGGCGGTATCCATTCTTATTATGTCCAGTTTATAGGTTAGAAATTCAGTGTTTAGATATGTTATCACCTATTATTTTACTTATTCCTAGAAAGTGGTTGAGCCAGATTTGAAGGAAGTTCCTCTGCTTTCAGAACCCATGTTTTTAGCCACTCCTTGACACTGCCTCCAAATGATTTGTCTTGCACGTGGGAGATACATACTAAAGGTGTAGTTAGTTATGTGGCAGATGAAAGGAGAATGGCCTGACTAGTATGTTAGGCAGGGTTTAGTTCCCTGCTAGAGAAGGAAATCCAATAACTATAGCTTAAGTGATGTAGATCCTTATTCCCTTTACAGCAGCATAGTATTCCATTGTGTAGATGTACCACAGTTTTTTAATCCACTAATCGGCTGATGGGCACTTAGGCTGTTTCCAAATCTTAGCTATTATAAATTGTGCTGCTATGAACATAGCATATCTCTTTTCCAATTAGTGTTTCTGATTTCTTGGGATATATTCCTAGAAGTGGGATTATTGAGTCAAATGAGAGTTCCATTTTTAAAGAACTTGGACCTTTTTTTTTTTTTTTTGTGGCTGAGAAAATAACTATTGGTTGGGGTGCTGGCAGGGAGCCAGCTGAAGAACTTCTGTAACTGCTTCTTGGTGCCGGCGGCCTTGGTGACCTTGAGCACATTGAAGCGCACAGTCTTGCTCAGGGGCCGGCACTCACCCACGGTGACAATGTCGCCGACCTGGACATCTCTGTGGAGGGGGACAGGCGCACTGACGTGTTGTGGTGCTTCTCAAAGTGCTTGTACTTCCGGATGCAGTGGAGGTGGTCTCGGTGGATGACCGTGGTCTCCTGCATCTTCATCTTGGTCACCACGCCTGACAAGATGCACCCTCGGATGGAGACATTACCGGCCAAGGGGCATTTCTTGTCAATGCAGGTGCCCTCATGGCCTCCTTGGGCGCCTTGAGTCCCAGGCCGACATTCTTGCAGCATCGAGGTAGCTTCTCTTTGCCAGTTTCTCCAAGCAGGACCCTCTTCTTGCTTTGAAAGATGGTGGGCTGCTTTTGGTAGGCTGGCTTTGTCTGAATGTCCACCATCTTCATGGCCGCTTTAAAAAAAAAAAAATAAAGCCACGGTGGCATCCAGGTTTCCTTATCGACTGTGCAGGAGCTGGAGAGGAAGTGACAAATAGGGGCCCCGGAAGCACAATTTGGGGCGGTGCCTTGGGTGCATCTCTGATTGACCGACGACTCTAAGCAAACAGGCAATTGGGAGACTGCACCAGTGCCTCCATGGTGGCAGAGGGCAGAGAGGTGGGTGGCTAGAACCTTGGAGTTTTTAGCAGCTTAGTTTTTTTTTCTTTTTTCTTTTTATTATCCTTAGTGTGTTTTCTTTGCCAACACTTTTCTAGGTATTTCATCATCAAGTCTGGTGGAAAAAGGAAAATGAAGGCTGGAAATAAATTCTCCTTCATTCTAAGGGCAAGACTGGGCTATTGCACACATTTTTATCTGCCCCATTGGGCAGAACATAATCATATATTCCCACCTAGCTACAAGGGAGGCTGGAAGTAGGCTTCCTAACTGCAATCCAATCATTCTATCAATACAATATCAATATCACTGATATTGAGTGGTAATTATCTGGTCTTTAAAAAAAAAACTTTCCCATGCTTTATCTCAACTAACATGTAAACCTCCAATTTGGGCTAATTTTATTTTCAATTTACACATGAGACAACCAGGAACAAGAGAGGCGAAATGAGTTGCTCCAGGTCACCAAATGAGTCAGTTATGTGAGGAATGAGGCTTGAAGGGAAATTAATTTTATAAATTCACTTATGAATTTTTTATACTATAAATTAGTTCTTATTTACAGATGTAACTTCATTGTTGTGTTAGAACTGGATGGCAGATTCTTATGCAATGGAGCCCCTGTGCCTATGAACGCCCTTTGTATCATGTGTGAGCTGCTCAGTTACAGTCATGGCCGCTAGAGATGGGGGCAGTTCTGAGAAGTGCATTGTTGGGTGATTTTGTCATGTGAACATCATAGGTTGCACCTACAACAACCTAGATGATATAGCTACTGCACATCTAGACTACACGGTCTCCCACCACTGTACATGCGATACATCATGGACAAAAACATCTGTGAGGTACATGACTGTAGTAGGAGTTATTACTGAGAATATTACCAAACCCATTTTTTGACATTTGCACAATTCCGGCATGTGTGAACTAAGTCATTCATCTGAAAGCTCACGTGTGTGGAGGGTTTGGTTAAGAAATACTTGTTTTTGTGGACAGAAACGCACTCAGTCCAGCTCAAGCCCAGAGAATGAATGGGAAAACAAGCTGATGTCCCGGGCACCAGGACAGAACCAAATGTAGGAGGTCCCATTCCTTGGGAATTCATGGTCTTCACCCATGTGGTGGAGAGTTGTGTAGACAAGCAAACATGGTCGTGACATGAAAACAATGACCCAAAGAACCCATTTCTCAGACACACATTCCCGCCCCCAGACATCTCGCCCCGCCCACTTTACCGAAGCGTGACCACCCATCAGTGCGTGAACCCTCTGTGGAACACTTCTCCTCCGGGCGCCAGGTCTGGCCATACTAGGCAAACACCATGCAAAGGGATTGCTGCGTCCAATTGCAAATTGTGCAAAAGATGCAGGATCCCACGCAGTGGACGGGGAGTCTGCGGAGAGCGGCTCTCGTGACAAGCAAAGCGCTTGATGGATGGGAGCGCGGTCACAGCAGGCCAGTTCACACGTCAGGTGCTTCAAAGAGAGAGATTTGTGTATCAAAGGATTAAGAGGGGCCAGAGGAGCGCTGATGAAGCCCTGCAGTGATTCTGGGGAGAAAATACCCTCCCTGTGATCCTGCTGGGAGATGTCAGATGTGAAGGGAATATGTCATGTCCCGGTCCCCTCTCTGCCTACCTATCGATAGCGATCGTCTCCGAGGACTTGCCAAAACTTGATCGGAGCTTTGTTCATGCGAAGGCTGAGACCCCCGTTGACGTGAGCGCTGGCCTGCTGGGAGGCAGGCGAAGAGAGCTCGCTTTTATGATTTTCAGTTGGAAGAGTTTCCAAGCCCCTGGGGTTCCCTGACTGTTTTATTAGGTTGTAAGGTTGATTGAATGTTTCTCCTTCCGAGGTGGGGATGCAGATCTGGACTTGCCTGTCGGACTTTTATTTATTTATTTATTTATTTATTTATTTATTTATTTATTTATTTATTATTTTTGTAATCCTCACTCGAGGATATTTTTTCTATTGATTTTTAGGGAGATTGGAAGAGAGAGGGAAAGACAGAGAGAGGAACATGGATGTGAGGGAAATACATCGATATTCTATTGATATCTCCTACATGCGCCTTGACCAGTGGCTGGGCTGGGGAGGAGCCTGCAAGCCAGGTACATACCCTTGACCGGAATCAAACCCTGGATCCTTTGGTCTGCAGGCTGACACTCTATCCACTGACTAAACCAGCTAGGGAGCCTGTTGGGCTTGTAGCTTCAGCTGGAAGGTTTTGCTGTGCCAGAGAGGCTGTGATGGGAGACCATCCATTCTTGGCAGCCTTGTGGGCACGGAGTTATAAGGATGCTGCTGCTGACGATTAAAAAACAACAACAACAACAACAATCATGAACTGGGCTCTCAGTATGTTCCAGGCACTGCGCCAGACACCGTGCGTGAGCTATGTCATCCAGTCCTCAGCCGACCCAGCGAGCTCACTGCTATTTTATTCCTGTTTAACAGTTGAAGGTATGAAGGTTTAGCAAAGTCAAATATTTGGCGACGGGGTTCCACGTTGACTCCTTTGGGAGACGAGATCCCTCTCTTAAGTTTGTGGTGAGGACGTTGAGCAGGATGCATCATCGCGCAGTTTGAAGTGCGCAGTGCGGTACTGTCCGCTCCAGGAGTGACATTGTACAGGGGAGCTCTATGATATGGAAACCTCACACACATCAGGCGATAATTCCTCCCGCCCCTGGCAACCGCCACTGGATTCTGCTTCGGTGGGTTTGGCTGTTTTGGATTCCTTGTGTGCGTGGATCAGATTTTGTCCTTCTGGGACTGTCCTGTCACTGAGTATGGTGCCTGCCAGGCCCCGCCGTGCTGCCACAGTGCGGGGCTGTCCGCTTCTCTTGTTTAAGGCTGAGTAATAGCCACCCTTTGAACATGCCACATTTCCTTTATGCTCAGTCCCCTCGTGATCAAACATAGAAAGGAACTGAGAGACACTGTGACTTGGATTTGGGATCCAAATCCATCGGTATTCACGTCTTCGCTTGCTACTTCCTGGCTACAACCCTTGGGAAAGTGACTTAACTTATTTCCCGTAATCACCATTCCACTTGTGTGTTGGGGACATTTAAGATCTACACCCTTAGTAATTTTCAAGTGTCTAGTACAATGTTATTAACTGTAGTCACCGCGCGGTGCATTGCATCCCTAGAACTTACGCATCG